CCTTCAGGCACGTCGCAGGATGCCGCCACCTAAGTTTTCACGAACTCGGTTGACGCGTGCGGGGAGTTGGGCGGAGATATGGCTGCCGCTTGGCCTCCTGGGATTTGTAGTTTCCTTTGGGTGCAGGATGCGGCCACCTGAGTTTTCGCGAACACCGTTGACGCCTGCCGGGAGTTGAGAGGGGCCATGGTTGCTGCTTGGCCTCCTGGGATTTGTAGTTTCTTTTGGGGGGGGTTGTTTTTTTTTTTTTTCCCCTCGTACTCCCCACCCCATCCCCGCCGCCTCTCCCTGTCTCCCAAGGGACTGGAAGGATTTTTTTTTTTTTTTTTTGGGTTCCCAGAAAGGTTTGGGTAGCTAAAGATGAATGGCAAAGAATCATTCCATTTTCGAGGTAAATTTCCCAGTGTGAGATTAAAATGGCCCTTGTCTTCTAGAATTTAACCAGAACCATTGGATTAAGACTTTTCAAAGTGGTAAATTAGTAGATAGGTAAGAATTAAATGCTTATTCCTCAGGGAACCATACCAACGTAAAGAATCATGGGAGCTTTTGCATAGGGGAAACAGCAGATTGTTAAATATGTTGTTGCAGTCATGGGAAACTCGGAAATCATGGTTTCAAACCCTTACCACCCCCTTTTACTGCTGTTTTATTTTGCAAGTGTAAAGAGAAGAGAAAAAGCCCAGTCAGTAAATCAGTAAATCTCATTAATCACCCAGCTGCTTAGCAACGGAGATGCCTACATTTTCAGTACACCCCCCCCCCCCCGACTTCTCTTTCTCTTAAAGATTATTATTAGGGTCCGAGAGAAGCCCCCAAGAAAAGATCAATAAACAAAAGCACGTTTATTGTTTCCAGCAAATAGCCACACACACACCCCCAAAGGGTCACAGCTCCTTTTAAGCGGATTTAGGGGCATTCCAGGGAGGAGAAATTAGTCTAGGTCTGACTGGTGGTGAGCCTAGTGGTTGAGGGCTTTCCAGCAACAGAGTAGGGAAAGCTTTGTTTACCTAGCAGAAGGCTGAAGGGTGCCTGCTGAGCCAGCAGAAAGGGCCATGGATGTCTGCTAAATTATGGTTTTTCTGAGAGCTGCTTGCTCAGTTTCCACCATTCAAGGCAACCTATACAAAGGCCTGGTCTTGGCTCAGTTCTGGCACCACCACACCCTCCCCTGTCCCCTGGTCCTCTCAATTGTTCCAGTTATTGCTGGACCTGAAACTCTAAATTTGCTATCTAATATTTTCTCACAAAGTGTATTTAGTGTCTCAACTTTGACCTTAAAGAGATCAAAAGTTAAGAATCAGAAGTGAATTGTTAAACATACTGAAACAGGCTCTCAGAAAATAAATTTACAAATTCTGGCAAAAATCATCTCTATGTAATAGTTATGGGCATTCTGCTTCTTTTAAAACTATAAATTGGTACAGTTGTAACGAACTGTGGCTAAATTTATTATATTTAGAGACGGCTACTCAATAGAGGAAATTGCAGTATTTGTTGTGTCATAAGAAACTGATCAAATTTTGGTCCCCTGATTATATATTGGGGATATGATTTCCAAAGTCAAAGATTTTCTTTGAAATAAAGAGGATGTTCTGACGAACAAATTAAGCCTAGGCAATCAGATGTTCTGATAATCCCATCTAGAGCCAAATAGAATATGCAAATATTTCAAAGAAGAACATAGTTAGACACAAATCCTGGATCCTGTATACTTCTTTTCAGGACCAGCAACTGTTCCATAGTGGACACTGCATGGAAATTGGTGACATCTATAATCAGTGGGAAAAAAGGGAGATTCACAAGTTATGTTTTCTCAGGCTTTGTGGGAATAAACTATTATGAAATGTATGCATAACCTCAAACCACAAGCTTCAAACTGCAGGTTTAGAGTAATGATTAAGCTGAAAAAATACCCCATTAATTTTTATATGCTCCTGCTGCAGATGGAAAGGAACCCACCAAGTAGTAAGAAAAAGTATCAATGATTGTATGCAGACTAAGAAAATTAGTAACTTGTAAGGTTGGAGTAATATATGGCCCATTTTTTAAAAGTGTACATTCCCTCTCTCCCTTCCATCCTCCCCCAGAAGCAGACTCCACCAGAAAATGAAAATGAGTGACGTGGTGGGAAAATAAATAGACTGTTAAATAAGATTGGACAACCAGAGCACTGAGGACAATGTTTTGAGTGTTGACTTTCAAAAATGGCTTTGTCTTCAGGACGTTTTTAATGCCAGGTTTTGTATAGCTATTTTCTTTTTTGAACTTCTATCCAGGGATAATTTGCTAGTTCTTGGGAAGTGATTGTTGCTTTTGTTTTGTTTTTGAGACACAGTCTTATGCTATCAACTTTGATAGGAATGGAAACACTAAAGCAGAGTCAAGTGCTTTCCTTATGTGTGAATTATTAGAAATCTGTGCCGTTGGCCACGCCAGAGAAGCAGTGATAGCTAATTTTGTGTATCAACTGGACTAGATCACAAATGGTCCAGATACTTAGCGCAATGTGTTTCTGTATGTATCTAAAATGATATGCTCTTTTTTCTTAGATAAAATGTTTTGACTTTTTATTGGAAAGTTAGTTCTACTTGCAGAGGCAGTCCCATGCTGTCCCAGGCTACATAATAAAGTCCTCTCTTAAAAAGAAAAGGTCAGTCAATAAATGTAATGAAGAATTGTCTTGATATTTTGATGGTATATAGTGATTTAATAAGAAATTATCATTTCAATTTGTCATGTTTTATTTCAGTTAGGAATAGATCACTCTACTTCCAACATAGCACAAGTAGTGTATTGTTCACTATTTCAGGAGCCATTTGGGGAATGTTTAATTTATTTTAACTGAGCTCTAGATTTGTCAGGTTACTTATTGATGAGTAAGCTCAGGGTAAAAATGACGTTATATAATTCTGCCTTAGGCTTCCCTTGTCTTTCCCATTCAAGTTACTACTACCATGTGATGATCAAAGTATGATCCAAAGCATGCTTATAATAATCATGTTTTATGTTTTATGTTTTTAGTGATCTTCATTGCAAGGATCTCAAACTTTTGAAAGCCATCAGCCATACAATATTGTAGTAGCTGTTACTGACTACTTTTACAAATGGTTAAACTATGGGAATCAATCAGTGTGTCAGTCTTCAGAACAAATTTTGAATCATTTATTCTTGCCACTAAAGAAACTTAATTTTCTTACATTTTATTCTCATCATTCATGTCAAGCAAACAGAGTTGAAATTTCAGTGCTTCAAAGAAAAACAATATCAGTCTACTAAATGATACCCCAAATTCATTATCCTATTTTTCACTGACTTTCTTGCAATCCCTTGCAAAGATCATGGCTACTTTAATTATAGGTAGTATAAAATATTCAGGGAGGAATTTAAACATTTTTTTCTCAGAGGAAAATCTCTATCGAAGATAATATTATGCTTACTTTCTGGTTGCCCTATATATTCCATTTCTTTCTCAGATGTACCCTGACTAAAGATGAACCCTTTGGTACCTGGAGTATGGACATAGTTTCCAACTTAACAATTGATTCTCAGTGGCTGAAGAGACTCTGTGGGACTTGCCTGCCCACACCATCAGCTGGTCATGGTTTCCTAGCTTTGCTCAACAGGACAGGCTTCCATCATTTATCAGCCACTTCAAACATCCATGATAAAAGAATGCTAAACTTACAGTAAGGTACAAAAAAGGACACTAAGTCTGTTCTTGTAGAATGTGTATTGTGTCTAGGGAAACCCATTTCAAAGAGGTTTAGACTTTAAAAGATTAGCCAGGACTCAGAGAAGAGCAAGCCTTAACTGTCTATATCAGGATGCCACACCCTAGAGGCTGTAAGCCTAGGGGTGCATGGTCCTGGCCTGTCCTCTCTGTGTGTAGGAAGCAGAGTTTCAGAGTCTACATGCTCAGTTCCAAAGAGGCAGAATGTACTGTCCACTACTTTTCAATTCTCTAGGACACACCAAATTCCATCCTGGCAATATTGTATGTTGGTGCTTGGGTGCCATAACACAAAGGTTCCCTGAACAATCATCTTGGTCATTTTCCATGAAAACAATGCTGACCTTTGCAAATGTTAAAGGGTGGGAGGAACACTGTTTTCTATCCTCCTGAGCATTGTCTTTCCATGGGTGACCCGCTGAACATATCATAATGAAACTAATAAGTATGAGTCCACATTAAGAAGGCCATCTTCCAATCAGCCATCAACATGGTGTCCGTGAAACCAACCCTCCTAGCAAGTTGGGATGCAAATCACTTGTTAAGGTTAAGATGAATGTAAGTGTTAAATGACAAAATCAAGAACACCACAGAAGCTGGTTGTGGGGTATCTAATCTGACCAGATTAAAGAGCAAAATTCTGGTGAAAGTAATAAAGTTAGTTTCAGTAGGTTTCATTCTCCTGTCAAGAAGACCTCCCCTAGGGAGGAAATGCAAGATATAATTGTCCTTACTCTTAATTAACTCAACTTCACTTGCAATTATGCCATTGTATAGGTCATTACATCTGATGCACTTAATTGTAGCAGGTAAGTTATAGCCAGGGACACTCTCTACAAAAGCCTCTTTGAGGAAAGGAGTACCCCAGTGCAGCTCTAGGGGTGACCAAGGAAGGTAATATGGGAGGTTCAGATTTAGAAGTGCAGATACTAAACAGAGCCCCGTGCTGTTTCTGTTGACTGTTACACTTTCCACCGCCTATTAGAACATGTACTTTGCTTTGCCTGATTGCTTGCTGAGACAACCCTGGATGTGTGCCCTCTACCCTGCCTGGCTGTGAATTATTCCCTTTAGGAGTAGAGGAACCAAGACCACTTCTGTTGGAATTAGAAGGAACATGAAAGAAGGTGTCTCTCTCCATCCATAACCAAACAGTTCAACAATAGGTCATCCTGAAAGAAATGTGTCTATATCTGGAAAAGCCCCAGCATGGAGATTTGAAGATACAGAGACCCACAGATCTGAACACAGCATCTCAGTGGATGTTCTTTTGTCAGGCATTCTAACTCAGCTCTCATATGCTCAGCAGATAATATCCTGATATAATTTATTAACAGCCAGTTCACCTTGGGGATGACTGGCAGCTCAAAGGGACCACTCTGCTCTCACTACAGTGATGTGAACAGAACAACCCCTACCCTATAAGTCAGTAAGTGAAAATGTCTGAGAATGAGT